CTTGCAGTAGACCACTTCTTTTTGAGAACTAGAAAAGGCAATCGAATTACAAAAATCTTATTCACAAGACAGCAAGAGGATAAGAGTCCAGGTGCAGGGTGGGGCATCTTTTAAAGGTTTTCATGCTCTCAGAACTTTACTTAACTAGGGCATTTTCCAATCTGGACTCAGACCAGAGGCTAAGCTTCAACTTGGTCTGTACAGAACATTGTTGAAGAATAGAGAAGCCAGGAGAGCACTTTGGTTGTTCACACAGGGCTAAAGTAACAGAACTGCCAGCCTACAGGAATTCCAAGTTCTTAGCTTCTATCTTCTCCAGGACACTCACTGATTTTAAAACTGCACAGAGGCAGGATTGGGTGTGTACCTGCGAACCATGTTCTCAGATGGCTAAGGCTGAAATATCATGACTCCAACGGCAACCTAGCAAGATCCTGTCTCTTTGCTCCCTTAGTTTAAGATGCTTTGTTCCGAGTTCCACCTGTGTACATGAAAGATGAGCATTATGATACAATCCAGACACATGTGCCTACCCAAAGGCCATACATAGTGTTGAAGGCATGGTCCCTAGCTAGTGGATCAACCAGAGAGGTGAACAGGATGGCAGAGCTCTGACCTTTCCAGTGGATTAATCCACTGACAGATTCCTAATTTGATGGCATTATTGGAAGTAAGAAAGCTTCCAGAGGTCCCTGGAGAGGACCATAATCTGTTGAAAGCTCTCGTCTCTGCTGTTCCAGCTGCTGAGTGCACTGTCCCTCATGCCCTCTCCCATCAAGTTCGTCTCACCTCAGAAGCTGAACAATGGGGCCGGCCAACCACTGACTAAGGCTCCCTTAAGTTGTTTCATTCAGGTATTTTGTCACAACAATGAAAAAGCTGACATACTGTCTGGCAGAAAACACCAGGTCTGACACCATTCACAAATAATAAGCCACAAATCAAACACAGACCAACTTGACCTAACTGGTATTTAACAGAACACTGGACCCAACAACATTCTTCTCAAATATATATAAGACATCTGCCAAGATCATATTTGGAGCTATAAAATAAAGTTCAGTGAAATGAAAACAATTTCATCACGCTGGAATTAGATTAGCGGAATGATCTCTGGAAAATCCTCAAATATTTGGAAACTAACAAACTTCTCAATAATCTCAGATCAAAGAGATACCAGAAGCCAGACACAACTGTGTTTGCCTATTGTCCCAGATACACATAAGAGTGAAAAAAAAAGAAAGAAAAACAAACAAACAAACAAACTGATCCTCTCAGCTAGGCATTAGAGGCTAATCTGAAAAACAGAATCCCAGCCCCCAAAATAGAAAAATCTAGAAGTAAACATTTTAGGCAGTCAGAATTTCTAGTGTGCTTACAATGAAAAACCAAATAATTTCACTTCCAGCTTGAAAGATTAAGGAATATAAATTTATAACTAAAGTAAATAATAATCAACAAAAAAGAAACAGGTCTTTAAAACAGGCAGAGGAAATCTAGTTAACTAACTAGAGGTTGGCTATGATAATCCCAGTAAATTAATAACTATCTAGGTAGCTGCTAAAGAAAAAAGAATATTCAAATTACTAGATCAGGAATGACGTAGACAGTAAATGATATAGAGCAGTGGTTCTCAACCTGGGATCTTGAGCCTTTGGGGGCCAAATGACACTTTAGCAAGGGTCATCTAAGGCCATCGAAAAGCACAGGTATTTACATTATCATTCATAACAGTAGCAAAATTACAGTCATGAAAAAGCAATAAAAATAATTTTATAGTTGGGGTCACTACAACACGAGGCCCTGTATTAAAGGGTCACAGCATCAGGAAGGTTGAGAACCATTAGCCTAGACGTTACATGGATACTAGACTCACTGTATTTTCTGAAGATACTAAAAGGACAAAAGTAGTATTACAACCAATATTATGCCAGTGACTTCAAAGAAACAATTTATTTTTAAAGCATGGCAGAATCACATAGCCACATGGGCAATAACTAACAGATAAAAAAAACCAGAAGCAGACCAATGAATGGCGGACCAGCAAAGCAGCCCCATTCTTGGTGGTAGAGCCCCATTCACCCAGCATATGAAAAGCCCTAGATTTCATCCTCAGCACCAAAAAGAAAACCAAATCCCCTATTGATTTATGCTCATAAGATATAATGTGAAATGTTTCAAAGCAAAACATAAATTAAAAAAAAACACTACAAAAATCTTGCATTTACCTTACTATTAATCGTTATTGTTAACTGATTATATACTGTCATACTTTTCCAACAAAAAAGTACAAAACCTATTTAATTTGCTTATCAACACAAATTCAGTATCATTTTATTTGCATTCTAATTCTTAAGACTATCAAAACTATCAAGTAATAATTACCCTTATTCTTAAAAATTAAAAATGTGTCCAACAGCAAACGTAGTTAATTATATCAAAAACATGGATAAGAATAGACATATTAAAAAGTAACACTGCGGAAAAATACTGACATGAAAATACGGCGATGAGTAGTCGTTAAAGAGAAGCGCCTGCACTGTGGTGGATGCTGTGGGTCTATGCTGCCAGGCGTGGGTGTGTAGATGCACAGAATGCTTATGCAGAATGGAGGACCAAGTACCTGGAAGACTAACAATGGCTGCTCTGGGTGACGGGATTCTCAGGAGCATTTTACATTCTTAATCTGTGCTTTTTTGTTGTCTCTGCTTTTCCCAAATTTCCTTACTGAAATGTGCTACATTTATAACTGAGGGTCAAAAGTAAAGAAAGTTAACTACTTTACATTAAAGTATATTTCAATGAAATATATTTATATATAAATACATAAAGTATATTTCAATTCTTAGCCAGGCAAATTGCTTAACCTACAGGTACAACTTAATTTGTGCTTCTCATTTTCTAAATACAAAACCTTTAGAGCCAGGTATGGTGTACCCCTGTATGCCCAGGACTAGAGAAGCTGAAGCAGAAGGACTGAGAGGACAAGCAAGCATGGACTACACAGCAAGACCCTGTCTCAAAACAATCCAACGCTATCGAAACATAAAAGGAATCCACTTCTACTTCTATTTTCTACTATTTAAAACTTAAAAATTAAATATCAGATTAAATATAAACTCTTTTAAAAAGCAGAGAATTTGATGGGTATGGTGGTACAGTAGAGGCAAAATGGCAGAACAATGACTCAAGAACTCAACAATTAGCCAAGCATAACCAAACACTCAAAAGGTTGAATAAGTAAGGTAGGAGGTTCTCTAGCTCAACACCAGTCTCAACTACATGCTAAGACAGCCCCCCCCCAAAAAAAAAACTACCACAAAAAAAGATCAATAATTCAGTGAAGGCTAAAAATTTACATATTTACAAATTTACAGAAAAAGATGTAGGAAGCTACACATCCAATTGTTACTACAAAATGTCTGGAGAAACATATAAGGTATAAATAGAAATGTATATTCACTGGGTGGCACATACCTGTAATCCTAGTACCCAGAAAGCTGAGGCAGGAGAATTATCATCAGTTAAAGGCCAGTCCAGACTACAGAGTAAATTCCAGGGTTAGATAACAGCATGAGATTCTATCTCAACAACAACAAAGACAGAAGACAGTCTTCACTGATACAAGTGATTCATCTGTTAAAAAGATTGGAAAGCTCTACATATATGAAATTCAAGTGAAAAATAAATGCTATTTTTCACTAGAGTGGCTGTCATAAACCTGCATCAATCAAAAACAAGACAAATATCCTGGCTGACAAAACAAAAAAATATTACTAATATTAATTAAAATGCCTGCGCAACTAGTTCCCATAAAAATATTACTGTCACTAGAGGGAGTTTATGAGTATTCCCTCCCTAAAATTGCAGCCACTCTCACAACACCCTTTCAACCTTAGCCTCGCCACAAAGGTTAGGCTGTTGGCAGAACTAGAAGAAGCATTAATACATGTTTGCACAACCTGTTATCATAAAAACATTTAGTTTCGAACATCTAATTCTGCATTTCATTTTCTTTGAGAAATAACCACACAGACAGACAGACAGGCACTCGCATATACACATTTATATTTCACTGGGGTTCATACCTGACTTCCTTAAAGGAAATAATAGCTTCCCACCAAAAAAGCACACTAAGCTAAACAATCTAGTTTATTATCATTGTAAATAGAGTGCTTAGACTTGGAGGTCGGGATCAAGCAAAGGAAAAAATATACATAAACTGTAGTTTCCACAGAGTAAAACAGAGACATTGTGAGATCAAAGCAGCATATTCCAACTGTGATGCCAAGTGCAGTTATGACCAGGTGTTAGCAAGTCAAAACTTTCAGCGTTCAATTCACCTGTGACCTCAGCAGCATAAAGTGTGAACAGCCAGCAAATTCATCCTAAATTTCTCTCCACCTTATTCTTTCACACATTAAGAGAAATACCAAAATGGTCAAAATTCCCTACAAAATAGGAAACCAACAGCATACAAATCATTTTAAGCAATTTCTGGTCAGTTTAATAAATCCATAAAACATTTTTAAAAATGAAGCCTATACACAATGGACCAAACATTTCATTTTCCACCCTTCTGTCTTCGGATCACTTCTCCCTTTCCCATAATTACAGGTTTTCTCAATTTTACAGTTACTACACTCTCCCCTAACACATAAAACAGCACACAAGTCACAGTTCTACTTCTTGCTTTTTTTTTTTTTTTTTCACTTCATGACAAACTTTTGTTTTGTTGTTTTCATAGATGATCATGGCTAGTCCTGCAAGCTAGCCAATGGCACTCCAGTCAGTAAACTACTTGGCACATGTTGCTTTCCCCTAAAATTTTAAAATAAACCACATCTGAAGTGTTCCGTGAGATATGATTCGGAGACAGCCACGAACTAAGTTATAGCCTATTCATTTCTTTTCGACCCGGTATGGAAAGAAATGGTCTGCAATCTTTCTTCTCTAATGGCTATTAAAACTACAATGACAAAGCAATCGAGCGAAATTACCTTTCCTGTGATTTCGGGGATCAGTGTCCTTGTCAAATCAACATCGCCTGTAAAAGTTTCTTCTTGTGCTTTTCTTTCTTTCACTGCAAAAGAAAACACCGGGGTTTGCTGTTGCTGTTGTCTTTAAAGCGTCTAGAGAGCCTTCCAAGATGCGTGTGGTGCAGCATCCTAAGATCAAAACACCCCAACTTGATCTGTCATCTGCCAGGCCAGAGGCCAAAGCTGTTCATCCCTCAGGATTCCGCTGACTGCCTCGGACCTCCACGGCGGCAGAAGACACCCACTGGAAGATAAACTTCTCGGCGCTACGACCGATCCCGCTCGAGGCAGGACCGCGTCCGGGGCGGTCAGCTCCGCAGGCGGCGCGGGCCGGGCGCCGCGCACCGCTCCACTCGGACCCCCGGGGCCCAGCGCAGCCCGCGGCCCGAGCCCCGGAACCACGACCACTAACGGAACCAGCCCTGGGCGGCGGCGGCGGCCGCTCGGACCGCGGAACCCGGCGCGCGCCGGCCGCCGCGAGGGCGGGGGCTCCGCGGAGGAGCTGGCCGCCCCAGCGCCCCATTGGGCGCCGCTCCAAACGTGCCCGAGTGGTGACAGGAATAAAGTGGGTCACAAGGCCTAGCGGGTCCCGGGCGCGGGTGCTCCCGGCGGCCGCCTCGGCCTGCACGGGCGCCGGCCTCGGGCGCGCAGCCGCCCCCGGCGCCCCCCGGGCCTCCGGACCCACCGCGCCCCCCTGCCCCGCAGGTAACCCCGGCGGCCCACGGGGACGGCTCGCGCAGGCCCGGCCGAGCGCGACTCCCGCCAGCCCCGCGTTCCCCGCGTCGCCCGAGCCCGGGCCGCCGCTCCCGCCTCCTGGCGCGGCCGCCGACC